ATGGAGGGCAAATGTTAATTTGTCCCCAGCAGCCCAACAATTCAGCCTCATTTCTCTTCTTTTCGATCACAGGAAAAAAAAGCACACACACACACACACTCACATTACGGTTAATATATTCAGTATCAGTGAATTGAGCTGAAGTATGTAGAAAATGTCTACTTTCACCTAAGATTCGCTCACCTTCGGCAATACGACATTAGCAGCTGTACAGGTAATAGAAACAAGAAGCGTCGACACTATAGAAGTAATAGTGTCTGTGCGGATGCTTGTGTTTGTTTGATGTGTGTGTGGCTGATCGTAATTAGAGAGGGACCTGAGTCCAGGTGCCGTGATGATAAAAGCGTTAAAGGGGATCCCACTGAGCATCTGCCCTGTTCTCTGCAGGAGGTCTTTTATGCAAGCCACAGACATCTCAGCCAGCCAAACTTACAGCCCACCAGCATGTGATCTGTGCCATACACGCACACTCGCACAGCCTCTCTACTTAGAGTGAGCCAAGTGCACTGTTTGTCCGTAATCAGAATTCAGAATGGCATGAATATAGAGCATCCATCTATCATAATGATGGAGTGGAGCAGAGAAAAGGAGGGGAAGGACAGGTGTAGGGAGACCTGGAGGCCAGCAGAGATAACAGGAAAGGCACAAAAGGTTGCCTCCCTGAAAAATGATCCATTCACAATTCTAATCACCTTCATGAAACTCACTTAAGGGTGTGCAGTTGGAATATGGGACTAATCTCAGCCTAATTTCTTAACTCTTGTACATCTGGTACATCCTATTTTGCAGTAAAATAAAGCTTTGCTGATCGTTCTAACACAGTTTCACAATAAATGGTCTTAAATGCTGGAGTTCATATATATCTGCTAATTCACCAACCCTGAAGATTGGCGCACAGACTGCTGGTCACCATAGCAATGCAGACAACAGTCTTACCTAGCTAGTAGCTAATGAAATGGCAAAGAAAAGAAAGATTTAAGATAAACATTGATCATGTAGAGATGAATGGACAGACATATTTGCATTTATAATCACTCCAGCTGGTTTCCTGATACCTTTAATATGCAGTGAGAAACTAAGAAGTTGTGAAGATGAACTTAGCTTCTCGTTCTCCAGCTTCTTGTTCAGATTTTCCAGTTCCACCTTAAATGGTGTGGGAATATTCGATAACAAAAAGCTGGCGAATGACAAGCTGACCTCAGCCTTGTAAAAAGAGACATTTTAGAAGAAACTGTTCTACTTTTGTGGAAAGGTATCCTGCCCGAGATGCGAGAAAAGCGGCTATACCTGAGCTAAAGCTTAAAGCAGAGCAAAGTAAGTCTGGATTTTCATTTATATTATATTTTTCAGCCTATACTAGGATATTAGCACATACAGCGACATATTTACAGCCCAGATGGTAAGACATTAATTCAATAAAATGGACACATAATGTTGTGTCTTCCAAGTTGATTTGATTTTTGTTGAAAGGACTAAATGGCTCTTCTAAACATTTGGGTTGCGACCCCTGACCTATACATATTTGACTTGCACAGAATACACAAAGTTTTACTTACACTTCATAGTTACCTGTTTAATTCTGAATAAAAATGACATTGTAACGACAAGTACTGCTGTACATTCCTGGTACACGTGTTACTATGTACTTTAGTGTCTTACATACAGAGTATATTCCAAACATTGTATTTAATAGCTACGTATTTGCTTGTTACCTAATAGTGCTTACAGTTAAGGTTGTCATCATGATGTTTTAGCTGCAAATTAGTAGTGACATTGTTGTATAAATAATTGTGGTTTGTTTTTGGAACGATTAAAATATACGTGTAAAGCAAGGCAACCCAAAGTGTGGCCTGTAGGCCAAGTTGGTCCATTTGGCCTGCCAGAAAGTTACCCTATTGCCACCCCCTCACCCAATAAAAGAACTAACATATTTTATACTTTATTTAACTTATTATATTTTTATTTTCCCTTTTAAATTTGTTTGTTGTTGTTGAACTATTTTATAACAAAATACTATGTAATGTTTTAAAAAACACCACTTGAAAGCTACCTACATTCTTTATTTGTATATTGTTTTATCTTTTTGGTGCTCAGCCCACCACAAATATTGCTTGGGCACTCCCCAGGCTAAGGCATCTTAAGTTGACTGATTAGCTATCTTGCTTCCTGGCTATCTTTACTGACTGGATTGCAATGGGGATGCTAGGTTATACTGACATGAATCAGGATTAGTATTAGTGGTAACATTACATGCTAACAACATTTAGTGTCAATAGTGCTTGGTGACTTTATCTTGACCTGGAAGAGAGAAAAATTATGTCAGCCAGTCCAGGGTGTTTCCTGCCTTGTGCCCAATGACCGCTGGGATAGGCTTCAGCTCCCCGCGTGACCCAGAAGGATAAGTGGCTTTGGAAGTGTGTGTGTGTTTCAGCCTGTTGACTTCAGCTTCAAGTGTTACCATAGATAACTTTGGTAGGAGACCATCCAACTGACAGGCACAGCTTGATATTAAGCAAGCAAACATTACTCAGTGCTGCTTCGTTATAGCACCAAGTTAGAGGTTACAACTTATTGGGTTGTTTTGTAAGTCCAGTGATGTTTTTCTCTGGTAGTATTTATTTGCCACAATTCAAGTGATGAAAATACACCCTAATTTTGTTTGTTGCAACATAAACTTATGATTGTGAAATTTAATGATTTAGTGCAAAATGATTTCAGTTGGCTCAAATGATCGCAATAACTCAATTCAAATAATTGATGTCATGTGATTGTTTAATAATTGCAAGAGGCCTACTGGACCAAGCGGTAGCGAAATTTCCAAAAAGAGTATACCATACAGCATCTTATCAAACTTATTAACCCAAAAACTTGATTAAAATTGCAAATGCTTTTATTACATTTTTAGATTTAAAATGTGCAGATTCCTAAACCTGGTACTCATGAAAAAGCTATTGTTGGTTAGGGCATGTTACTCTGGACCAGAACAGAGGCAGAAGTATATAGGCCTGCACAAATCCTGGATCTGTTACCTCTTTCCATTTGCCCCAGTGTGCTTAATATCTACAGCCTATGGCCTTCAGTGTTCTCCAGTGGAAAACATCACTTGCTATTTTCACAGTTTTCATGTGAGAATGCATTAGCTGGAGAGTCATGGAAAAACAGCCTGTCAATTACAGTCATTTTGGAGGCAGAGAGAGACAAAAGCCTGTAAGGATTCTCAACATGTGTGAATGTATATGTGTGTTTGTGTGTCCGTGGGACCGAGTTAAGAGGCCCAGGTCGTGAAGTGGATCCAGGTAATGGCCTTCTGTGATTACCTCGTCCTTTCCGTGCATGTGCCGTGTGTGTTTGATGAAGTAATGGCTTTGCCCACACGGCCCATTTGGGTGGCTCACGACTCAGTCTGTTTACGCAGAACTGGTGCCCAGGAAACTGGCATCTATCTGCCTCTATCTGTTTCATTTGGCTTCTTTAGAGAAGCGAAGAGAACAATAGAATGTCTCACTATCATGTCAGCTCAAATCACATGGAATAATAGAGTCATGACAAACAGTCCGCACTGTCTGTGTTAAAGCAAGCTTTTGCTAATTTGCTATCAGTGTTTGAGCTGTCAGAACAAAACCTCATACAAAAAGGTAGCGTTTTAGGAGAAGAAGAATATGTTCTTAAAGTGGCACTTGGGGCAAAATGAAAAATGTAACCACTGTTTTATTTGTTGCAAACATCCTCATCCACCTATTACTGCTGTGCCACAGCAGCCTTTAGAGTGAGAATTTTCAGTTAAAAGACCAGGAGAACCTTCTTCTGATGATGCATCTAGAAGGTGCAAGAAACTTAAAAAAAATGCTTTGGGCTGGCTTTTTGAAATGCTTTTTTCCCCCCAAGAAGCCAGATAGTTAATGTTACTGCTAGGAAGCTGAACATTATATCTATATTGATTACCCTTTACATCTGGGGATTTCTTGATTGCCATGGGGGATTCCTAATGGTTGTATATGTATTTGAGTAATGCCTGCTGGGTATTGTAGTGTGAGAACACTGATGGATGAAAACACAGAAAGAATATAAATTTATGAATATTGACAAACTGATGAGGCTGACGGATACAAAGCTGTGCTACAGTATTTTACATGACATGACAAGTAACGTATTAAATACTAGTTTTAGGCTAGAATGGTTTCTATTCATTAAATTTATTATGATATGATCATGATATCATGATATTCATCCTGTGTAAAGGGCAGCAGATTTTGATATGCTGTGATAATATGCGTTGTTTAAAGGGCATGTATCCTACATTTGATCCTTTTTCCTTGAGGTCCATTTATAAGATTTGTGTGATTTTATGTACCAAAAACAGTCATTCATTTTTGCATCATCATTTTCCTCAGAATTAAATAGGCTGTTTTTGTTACTGTGCCTTTAAGACTGATATATGTAGGCCTTTATTCTGATAGGCTGCCCTGTATTGTGCCTCATTCAAAAAAGTAATCTGGGCTTCTTATAACTCCAATGTGAATGGGCGGGGCTGAACCGCTGTAGCCTGAACAGGCAGATATATGTAAATGGGTTGTTTTCTGACCTCACTAAAACAGTGAATTCAAAATGGGCTGTTGTTACAAATTAGCTTTCACATACAGACTTTATGGAGTGGGGAGTGAATGGTACATTTTGAAACACTTTAACTGTGTCTGTGTACTACATCACACTTTTTTATTTCCAAAAAGTGAGGAAGACTTGGTTTTCCAAGTTATGGGCTCTTAAGTATATGGATAATGCTGGTTACAACTCAGTAAGGAATGCACATATACAAAATGCTTTGTTTAGCACTTGAAACACTTTTTACTCCCTTTGTAAATATATTACCACATGTGCTTTAATATTTAGCAATATATGGACTACTTTCTTGCAATAAATTCAATAAATATATTAGTCCAAGACCTGTGTATTTCTGTGAATCATGTAATTAGAAAGCTTTCAGCTATGCTTTATTTTTGCAGCTACTCAAGTCAGCCCCTCAGAGTTGCAAGATGTGTTCCAGGAAACCTCTTCCAACATCTTCCAGATTAATGCCAATGGTGAGTGGATAAAGCTAAAGACTTGAAGGGCAGCACACACATTAATTATGTATTTTCTGTTTCCACATTATTTACTTCTCTGGTTTGTAGTTCATGTACTCAGTTAATGGGGAACAAAACTGGTCATAATTTGGTGATTTTAATGAAATTGTCAGTGTTGGGCAAATTACTTAAAAAGTGTAGTAACTTAAGCTGCCTGTTGAAACTACTTCATGATTGATTTTGTCTCTGAGGATAATTAAAATTGTAATAACCTGCCAGCTCAACGATTTGTTTTAAATGTTGTACAGTGCACATAATCATACATTTGCTTACTCTGTAGCAGAGGAACAGTGCTCCTCTTTTTTGCCCTCTAAATGGATTAGTATTTGATGAGGCTTCTCAGTTTTCATTTGTGATCTGTCGGCTTTAGTCTCTATCTTTACCGTTTTAGTGCTATGAGGTTGCCCAAAGTTATGTGTGTAGCCATACTGGAGAACCTTTAGTCTACTCCTTTCTGATTTTTGAATGCATCACACCAAATATCAAGTAGTGTTTTGCATACTGGAAATACATATGTATACATGTATACACATAGTGCTCCTCTGCTATTTGATGGATGAAGTAGCTTCACTGCTGAAAAGCTACTCGATTTGGATAGTAGCTATGATACCACATGTTATTGCCCAACATTAGAAATTGTACTGATTATTCATTATTATTATTATTATTATTATTATTATTAAAAATTGAGTTCTCAGAGTTCTTCCTTCATTTTCTTTGCAGTGGTAACTTTAGAGAAGAGCCTTCAGTCGCTGGGAACTTCCAGAGATACAGCAGAGCTACGCCAGAGCCTGTAAGTGTTTAAGCTGTTACTCGCAATCTTGTTCATGTAATACATAATGGAATTTATTTGCATAGAATGCTGTACATCACTTTGGGTAACTAACAAAGGGAAACACTATTGGCATATACTGTGTTTTAATGACAATGGCTGTGAATAAAGTAGGCATACAGTAGGTTGTCTCACCAGTAGAGGAGTCTCACCAGTAGAAAAGCAGCAGTCCTGTCTATTTTTGTCCATGTTGTGTTATGTGTTATGTATTATCCCAGCCAGGCATCATTTAACCTGCCTACATCAGTTCATGATGACTAGCTCAGTACATGCCCATGGCACGCCACATATTGTATGGCTGTCACTATCAATTACACCAGTTGAGCAGTCGACTGATTATTTTGACTAGTAATCAAGTTAAAAAAAAAACAAAAAACAAACAATACAGATTTAACTGAACAGTAATAAACCATTCTTAGTCTTTCTGAGATTTTAACTTGCTTTATTAGGAAAAATAAAAAGACTTTATTAAAAAAATAGAGCACTATGTGGCAAAAAATGCATATAAATTGGGGTCATTCTTGCTATTAGAGACACCATTGGGTGATTTTATAATATGCATTGTCACCATGCAAACTGCCAGCTAATCATTGCCAAATTGCTCACATTTTTATTGATCAGTTTTTCAGTATTTGAGTTTAATCAAGCAAATGTGACAGTGCAACACACTGAGGTCTGCATGGGTCTTAAAAAGGAACACTTAACCTGACCCCAGCCTGGGACTTTGAGGCTGACTGGTACTGATAAATTGGAAAACAGAATCCAACCAGGACCTGGAACAGCTACAACCACAGTCAGTCAAGAGACTACATGCCAGTTCTACTGCATCATTGAAATGCTATGGCAAACTCTACACTGTACATGACCAGGGTGCTTCTTATCTGATGCAGTGTTTCCACAACAAAGAAGTCCCTGACTGATCAGACGCGTGCAGAGCAGACCAAAGTAGAAGGTGTTTAATAAAGGGAGAATCTAAAATCAAGGCACAGAACAGGCGAGGGTCGATACACACGAGAGCAGAGTCCAAAGGGATAAGGCTAAAGTTGTAAACAAAAGGACAAGCGGAAACACAAACCGGAAAGTCAATGCAAGGAAACAAAGGCTCGGTAATGCACAGGAACTGATACAATACTTCGCAAGGATACAACTGATGCAAACAAACACATATAGTCCATAGAACAGGTGTCAGAAATCAATAATCAGGCGAGCTAGAACGTTGATAGGTGGATTGCTGAGAGTTTGTATTCATGTGACCCCACTGGATTCTGGGAGTTGGAGTGCTGAACAGAGAGTCTCCACTACGGAAGGCAAGACACTTAAACAGTTTTGTAATCTGTATTTTTATTTCTTCCTTGGCAAACAGTTAGCAAGACAGTTAGCTAGGCTTTGTTGTACAAACATGAACAAATGATAACAAACGTGCTACATATAATGGGATTAGTTTTGCATCGGGACACAGTGCAATGTAATTTTTGCCTGTGTTTCTCAGTGTTTCATTGCCATCCAAATCCATCAATTCAGTGATTTTTACTACATGATGCATGCTGGAGTGTCAGTAGAGATTCCATCGGCTTATTCCTTCTATGAAATGAACCGTACAAATAACCTCACGTTATATTAATCCTGTGCGAATTGACACTTTTCATGGTTATGGAGGCACTTGAAGAAGCCTTTACTTGTGCTCTCTGTGCCTCAAAGCCATTAAGTATTGTCCTACTTTAAGCATACATTAAAACACGTATAATGAGATAAAAAAATAGATTGCAGCAGTGATGACTGTTGGATGTGTCTTCCCAAGATAATGATAATGCTAATGACACACTTCATTCATTTAAGACAGCTGAGTAGAATTCTCTTATTTGTGTCAGTTTCATATTTTTCTGTCAGTTATTTTTATATACAAGGGTTATGATGCGAGCAGTTGATTAAACCTGTTGATGCCTATTTGCATTGTGAGCAACAATGGTTGAAAATAAGAAGAGTCTAATGCCCTGCACCCATGATGACAAATGATCTGCATAAACAGAAAATTTGGCACCTTTTCCAAATGGAGAAATTTTGTCATTTATTGCTTCCATTATAGCATAACGACCTTGTTTTTTGAAAGAAAACAGTATAGGTTCTAATTTCAATAATATAGCAATGTTTAAAGCGGCAGTACAGTATTTTGGTGCTTTGTTTTGTTATTGAATGGGTCTGTAGTGTTAATCTGATGTTGAAAACGTAACATAGCTACGGTAGAAACAAGTGAAATGTATGAGTACATTTAACAAATATTTTTGAAAAACAGTGACATTTTAGAAACAGTAGTGAAGTGAATCATACTTTAAAACATGTATAATGACCGGAAAAAAATGACTTTTGTGCAGCATTGATGACTGTGGCTGTGAATTCCCAAGCTAATGACAGTGCTTATGACACATTGTATTCACTAAAGACAGCTAGGTCAATTCTCACACAAGATGTCTCATCCTGTGTGCATCAGTCATAAACATGACAGGCGTGAGATAACAAAGCATTATCTCACCTCCCCATTGAAAACTAATTACATTTACGACATTTGGCAGATGACTTACGATTTGATCATTTTGTTCAGGTAGGTGAAGGTAGTGTTAGGAGTCTTGCCCAAGGACTCTTATTGGTATAGAGTAGAATGCTTGAGCAGGTTGGGGACCGAACCCCAGTCTACAGTGTAGAAGGCAGAAGTTTTACCCACTACACTGTACCAAAACTAATCCTGTCTAAATAAAAAAACAAACCTGAGTCCACTGTTATACATGAAAAATTTGTTCAAAAGTGGCCCGAAATCTGATATTTCATCAGGTCCTCTTGTGCTTGGGTTACCTTTAATTTTGACTTTTTTCTGTCAGTTGCATATTTTTTGATGTCTGTTTGCAGCAGTGGGTGACAGTGAGGAGAGTCCTGCAGCCCTGCAAGGACCATACACCACAAATGACCTGCATAAACAGAACACATATCTTGCTCATATCTTTCCAGATGGAGAAATTTTATTGTTCATAGCTTTCAGTATAGCAAATAGGCTCTGTTTTCTTTTCAACAAAAACATTATCATTTATAAATTCAGTTAATGTAACAATATTCAAGACTGCAGTTAATCATTTTGACACTTGTCTATAGGCTCACAATCTAGGCTGGTGAGATTCTTTACAAACCCTGAAGTCTGAGTAGACTGATAAATCAGTGTGATCAGTTCTTAATCTCAGTGTTACTGAGCTCTGCTAAAGCCTGAGTAGACTGATAAATCAATGTGATGGTCAGTTATTAATCTCAGTGTTACTGAGCTCTGCTAAAGCCTGAGTAGACAGATAAATCAATGTGATGATCAGTTATTAATCTCAGTGTTACTGAGCTCTGCTAAAGCCTGGGTAGACTGATAAATCAATGGGATGGTCAGTTATTAATCTCAGTGTTACTAAACTCCTTTGAAGGATGAATGAACTGAACAGTCTCCTCAGTAGTGGACATGCTCATGAGTGATAAGATTAGTGTTGTACTCAACTTGTGCAGGCGATTTATTGCAAGTTTTTGTAGAATTGCAAGATTTTGTAATCAGGATATGGCAAATTGTTTGCTTAGTTCATGAGACAGCCGTGGGATTATGGGAGCATACGTGGACTAAAGCAGGCAATGAGAGCCAAAATAATGTTGAGAATTTTCATCGAACTTTTTTTAAATGAAAACTGCCAACTAGTAACAGATGTGAATTAAGTAAAATGACAGTGGCAGTTTTTCTTATTTGCCTTGTCAATATGTATTCTAAATGTATTCTGAATACATTACTTTTTAATGTGTTAGAATGCATTACTGAATATATCAGAATTCAGCCATCGCTATTTTTTCAAAGTATTCGGCCCAACACTGTTTGCATAGTGTCCAGTACTTATTTATTATTTATTAAGTGAAAATACTATACAGAGAACACACTTCTGTACATTTTGATGCACAGTTACTGTTTATTTGCTAAATTTAATATACTGAGAACTATTGGCACGTTTTATATTTCATGTTTTACTTTTTCAATATGTTAAACTCAACAAATAGAAATTGTGCACTAAAATTTGCATAAAAAATTGTCACATAAAAAAACCCCAAACACAAACAAACAAACAAAAAAAGCATGTAGTTTGACCAGGGGTCTTCATACTTTTACATATGTTCTTTTAGGTCATCATTTGGTCCCCACTTGTGTCATAATGCACAGGCAGACATGAGAAAGGCCATTAATGCTTATTCTCTGTTTTATCTCCTCCCTCCCAGCACACATCGATTACTCTTTTTCAGTCAGGCTGTCAGCAACTCCAAAATTCATTGCTTGTCACAAAATGGTCAATCTGAAATGATTGCGTCTGGGTAAATTGCATTACACTCACTGTGTCCACTGGCGTGTCATCAATTCTATCAGCCTTTTTTATGATGGCTTTCGAAATCTACTGACGTTCATGCACTGTCAAATTGTATGTCTTTTTTCTCTCCGGGCTCATCAATACCAAAACTCAATACAGATCTGTGGAACAAAAGTCTTGCCACTACTGGATGAGCAGATAGCGAACATCTGTTTGCAGCTGCCCCATCTGCTGTTTTGTAGGTGTGACTGCACACAGCATGGATAAATACTTGCAATGTTTTCACTGCATATGTTACACTGCTTCTGTTAACTATGCAATCAAATGCAGTTTTAGCGTTGAACTGACTTGTCTTTAACCTAAACCAGTTCTTTAATGCTTTCACCTGCTGAAGGTGTGTTTTTTCTGGTCAGTGTGGAGCTTATTAAGCTGGAAGGAAAAACAAGCATGCCCTCAATGTAATCTGATGATATTTCACCCTAAAAAGAAGCTAGAAACCACACTTTCATTGACAAGGTACAAGCTAGACTTCCTTATAATTAGCCTTCATCTTTTCATGGTCTACCTTTAAATGTTTCTTGGTAATAGGCTTGCTGG